GTTCTTAGGTGAGAGCCACCTCGGAACCCGGTGGTCAACACACCTGCTCCTGAGAATTCCTCCCGTGTCCAGCCTCTCCTGTCCTACTTCAGTTTGAGGGGTGGGCTCTGTCCCCTTTTGATTGAGATCTTACCAGAGCCCTTTGTGGTCTTTAAAGTTCACAAAACTACCAGGGGCAGACACACCCACTTTTATCTTAACTCTGATCTGAAGAACACATCCTTGAACACACCTGTTTGTGGAGAGGCCATCAATAACAAGGACTGGCTCACGGACTTAGAAATGACCAGGTGGCCGCCCCAGAGAGCCTGGGTGGAATCACTAAGCCGTGCTGGAGAAGCCAACGGTGCTGGCACCCGTCGTGGGCCACCCGCGGGGAAAGGCGTCTGGAAGGGCTCCCGCCTGGAGGTGTCGCGGGCCCTGACCCGGTGCACACCCCAGATGTGGAGGGCTCCACTCTCCACCACTCTGCCCAGCGCCCAGAGGACGCAGACAGGACATGGCACCACCCACCCGGAGCACCAGCTMCCAGCCACCGGGCTTTGTTCCCCCGGGTACCACTCAGGGCTGCCGCAGTGGGCTGTGGAGGGCAGACACGGCAAGTCTGCTTACCCCACAGTCACCAGGGCTAAGGGCTGTCCCCAACCCATGGCCCCTGGTCTAGGTCAGCTCTGCATGGGTTTCACAGGACAGGGGCAGACAGGTCCACTTTTATCCTAACTCTGATCTGAAGAACACATCCTTGATGGCCTGTGGGGGAGGTGATTTGGGCTGCTTCTGGCCCTGGGGGCGTCTCCAGTAGGTGTCAGACACTGTCCCGAGGCAGAGTTCTTTGGTCTGGGAACATTTCCAGGTGGGCACCACTGGTCTGTGTGATGGTAAGTCGGATTTGTCTGGCATCAGTGCCTGCTGGAGGAATCACCGTGAGCAACCTCTCCCCATCAAAGTCCCCTCCCCGGGGGCATTTCTCTGCCAAGGCCAGTGGTGTGGAGAAGACTTGCTGTTTCTCTGAGGGCCTCCAGGGTCCTTCCAAGTGACCTTTGAGTCCAACAAGAGCCTGGTTTGAAGTCAGGCCTGTTCAATGTGACTTTTCAAATCTCTTCTTTCTCCAGCGATTCCCCGAGGACGGGGGAACGCTGGGATCCGTTTTATTTCTGGAGGTGGGTTATGTGCGGTTCAGAGACCACCAGAGGAAGTCTTCAGGAAGCTTCCAGCAGCCATCCTTACGAGGGGGCCCTAATGGCCCAAGAGGGTCGATTCAAGTTTCAGGCCACATGACAAACGGTGGACGGATAAAGAAGTAGAGACCAGGGTGCCCCATCTCCTCTTAAGGACAGGCCCCCAGATGGCTCCCCGACACCTCCTCTCACATCCCTTCAGCTGTGGGTCATGCTAGTTGCAAGGAGGGCTGGGGAATGTAGTTTTTTAAATTCTTGGTAGGCATAAGTCTAGCAGAGCTGTCAAACAACCAGGGGAGAGGAGGGGACTGGATACTGCCCATGCCTCTGGGAGCAAGGTGAGGCTGGAAAGGTCAGCAGGACCCAGAGGGAGAGTTTGAACTTGACCCTAAAGGTGATGGGAAGCCTGTGAGGACATGAATCACTTTGGCATCATAGTGATCAGCTTCCCAGACCCCAGCCACTCTCTGATCAGCTCCATAAAGTACCTGAGCCCCCGAGATGGCCAGTGACATCCAGTCTGCTGTTCTCCACTTTCCTTCAACAAACTTTTGCAGCTCTGAGCACTTCCTAGGTGCCAGGCAAAGCGGACAAGTCTCTCTGCCCTGCTAGAGCGCACAGTCAGGTGGGACAGGTGGACATTGAGCACTTAAACAGGTAAAATATCTAGTCTGCCAGAAAGTGAGAAGGCTAGGGAGGACAGGGAGCCCTGGGCTCGGAGAGATTGCTGGACATACGATGGTCAGGGGAGGCCTCTCCACAGAGGCAACCCCGGAGCCCAGGCCGGGACGAGGTGGGGAACTGGGTGAGGCAGGAGGGTGTTGAGGGATAAAGCATCTCGGGCCCGCGGAACAGCCCATGTGCAGGACTTGGAGGGGATCAGGCTGGGGCTGGAGGGGCTGAGTGGGAGGTGAGATAGGGAGTGGACGGAGCCAGAGGAGGGAGTTGATCCCATCTTTAGTTTCTTTTGTATTGATTTTTTTAAAAGTTGGCTATTGCGGTTATAGTGTGGAATTCACTGTGACTTTTGTTTTTAAAGATCGCTCTACTTGCTTTATTCCCCCAAGTTGAAAGTCAAAATCTCCCAAGGGTGAGGACACCACCTCCCTCAGGCCCTCCCCATCAGAGCCAGACCCCTGGGGAAACTGAGAAATCTCTCAGCTGACTAGAGAGAAAACCAGGACCTGAYTCAGGTCCCAAGCCGCCCTGCTATCTCGCTTCTGTACTGTCCTAGGAGATTTCAGGAAATACAATCTGTTTCCTTCAAAATAATTTTTTTTTCGTATTTGCGTTGCTCGGTCACCCCATCAACCCCCGTGTTTTATCAACAATAGCCATGAGATGATGTTGACTCATTGCTGTTTTGAAAAGATAAATCTATTTAGAAGTAATTAATCAAAGGGCGCCAGCTGAGGCTGTGTGTGTGTGTGTGTGTGTGTGTGTGTGTGTGTGTGTGTGTGTGTGTCTTCACGCGCTCAGACAGGCGCAAGTACGCTACACCTGTGAGAACTTCCTCATGCCAGCAAAGTGGACGAGTCTCTCTGGCCTGCGTGTTTCCGATCGTGTGTTCGCTGGGTTGTGAGTTCCGTGGTGGGCACAGCTGTGTGTTTCACCCACCTCCGCTCACCTCTTGCCAGGCCACTTTATCCCCCTGCACTCCCCAGTCCTGTTTTCTGTTAACACCCATTGCTACCTGRCACACTGTGCTTCTATGGTATCTCTGGCCATCACTGCCTCTTCCCCAACAGAATGAGGGCAGGAACTTCCTCTCCTTCCCTCCCGCCCTGCACCTAGGATAGCTGATACCCGACAGGCGCTGGATGAATACTTGTTAAGAACAAATATCCCTCAGTAAATCCTGGGGGCTCTGCGGATCTACAGGTGCACACTTGGGTGTATCTGTCCTGGCACCTGCATGGGCACACGGGTGTGGAGTGTCCATCTGCACGTGTCCGCATGTCTGCTTGAGCCTCGTGCCTGTTAATGTGCCTCTGGGGTTTGCTTGGCTGCTCTGGTTGAGTACAGACCAGACGGATGCTGAGTGGTCGGCCAAGGCTGCAGTGTTGGCAAACATGGGTGAGGCAGCTTTGGGCACTTGCAAACCTGCGGCTCATGGGCCAGGACCAGGTGACAGTGATGACCCTCTTGTTCTAAGCAGGCTCCATCCTGTTTTTAGCAACAGAGATGAAGTTCACCCCRGCCTGAGGCCTCCCAAGGGCTCCCCCTCTGTCGTGTTCTCTGGGCCCCCTTCTCCAGGAGCCCTGGTGCTCACAGAGAAAACACCCACAAAGAGCCCCTGGATGATGCTCCGAGGCTACGGGTTTCACATCAAGGCCTCCAAAAACCATTAGGAGCTTTATGGTTTGGGGGTTGTGAGGTGGCCTCAAAAAGTTCATGTTAGACAATGCAGGAATGTTCAGAGATGAAACAATCAGGTTGTGAGAAATGTGACCTAATTRGTGGATTGATCTACTTGATGAATTAATAATTAGACAATGAAGCCAGATTTGAAGATAGGTAGTTAGTGTAGTTAGGTAAATTGGGTCTAATATCGARTAAGRTAAAGAAAATGGCKGYCATTATAGAGAATGGAGTCCAGGAAAGCAGAGAGCACTTGGGAAAATTGAAATGTTAATGTCCCCAACGCTGGGAGCCCATTCTCAGGAACTGTTAATGAAATAGCTCCCAGCAAACAGGGTCCTAATCAAACCACCCCAGGCCCTTCCTGCCCAGACTACTTCTCCAGTCCCCCATGTCCCACCTTCTGGCCTCCCCACCTGCCTTCTCTCACTGCAGGACAGAGGGAAACCCAGGACGCGAATGTGGGAAGACTAAAAGAAGACCTAAGATACAAAAAGGGGAAGACTTCCCCCTTTCACGGATTCCGCCTGTTGGGTCCCCTTCTTCCTCCTGGAGAAGTCTTTTCTGCTGTCCTTTAATAAAGCTTCCACTGTCCACTGTCCACTCGCCTGGGCGTGCTTCTCTGGTGTTATACTTCAGCTTTCAGGGAAGCAAGGACTCCAGTCCACAGCGGTAACAACAAGACTGCTGGACTGGGTGATAACTGCAAGGCCTGGCTGGGGAAGGTAGGTCCCTGGGGGCCTGCCCGAGAAGTGTTTATCTTCTTTGCATCCCCTCTGGGCTTCCCAGGAGTCACCATCTGAGCAGCTTTCCTCCTCAGYGCCCTTCTGTCTCACCTAGAATCCTAAGCAATGGAGTTGGCCCACCATGGACTACGGTCTCTGAAATCGCGAGCTCAAAATTAAATTATTTCTAAGTTGTTCACGTTTGGTATTTTGATCACAGTCACMAAAAAAGCTAACGCAGGCATCGACCACCTTCAAGTTGACTCAAAGTTTCACTCATGCACTGGATTTTATCCTTGTCCTTTAGACTCCCACAAAGACTGCAATGCTGGGTCGGCCCTGGTGTTGGAGACTTCGGGAGTGGATGGATGAATGAATACCAGCTCTTAATAGTAACCAGCACTAGGGGCAAGGACAGGGTGACCCCAGGGGTATGGAATAAGCCAGCACGTGGGGGACCGGCACAGGCTCTAGAGCTGTGCACCCTGGGCTGGAATCCAGACAACACTACTTAGGAGCTGGGTGACCTTGGGCGACCTATTTAGAGGGCTGGGGTCGCACACCCTCGGGTAGAGGCACCCCCGGCCAGGCCAGGCACAGCAGCAACGCCGGACTGGCAGCTGCCACGCCTCCCAGACACCGCAGGGCCGGCAGCCGGAGCAGCCACCCCACACGCATGCGCGGCCGGCAGGTGGGTGGGGCCACGGTGGCGCGGGGCGGGAGGGGCGGAGCCGCGCCTGCGCACGCCGGCTGTCATGGCGGCCGCCTGAGTACCGCGGCGAGCGTCGGGYGGGCTCCCTGCGCGGGCTGCGGCGGGTACGTCCCTGAGGGGCGTGGCAGGGTGGGGAGGGTGACCGGCCTGCTGGTCCCGAGCCGACCTGGAGGTCTGGGCGGCCACCACCGGAGGCACTCAGCCTCAGTGTCCCCTCCTAAAGAAGGGTGCGGGGGAGGCCTCTCGTCCTCCGGGGTCCGGGAAGCCCCCGTCGGGCAGGACTCCAGGGAGCAGCGTCGTGGTGATGGGCGGCAGGCGGTGGATGGGAGGGCGGGCGGCAGGGCAAAGGCCACGGCGGGACGTGGCCGTGGCGCGTCCAAGCCGGGGCACGTGYGGCCAGTTCTCCTCCCTCCGCCCTTCTTGGCTGTGGGAAGTTTCCATSGTGGAAAAGTTGGGGGAAAAGAGGAGAACGGGACTTCATCACCGTCCACAGGCCTCCTGCCGTAAACAGAAGGTTGCTGTGACAGTGGACACGGTGCGAGCAAGACACCAGAGTCCCGCTGGATTCTTGTCCCTGGCCAAGGCTCTGAGACTTTCTCCTTAGAACTGGGAATTGGCAGGGGAACACCCTGGTGATAGTGGTGGTGCACAGTCGTTGGCCCCGGGCTGGGTATGTTACCTGGCCCTCCTCCGGAACCTGCCTTCCTGAAGACCTGTTCTTGCCTCTCAGGTGCTTCTGCCCCAGGAATAACTGGGACCCGACCATGGATGAGGTCACCTTCAAAAGTGACACTGTGCTGTCAGATGTTCACCTCTACACTCCAAACCAGAGACACCTCATGGTGCGGCTAAATGGTGTGGGGCAGCCTGGTAAGGACCGGGGTGGGTGGAGTAGCTCAGCACCCCCAGAGTTCCCACCTCATYTTCTGTTTTCCCCTATTAATCTTTTTTTGGGGTCGATTGGGAAGACAAGATTGTTTAGTTGCCATCTTCACCACACCAGGTCAGCTGGCCCTTGTTGATCGAGGTCCTGCACTTTCCTGAGCACCTGAACCTGTGCTGTGCCAGGCCCAGGACTTGATGCTGGGAATGCAGAAGTGAGACAGACTCTACCTTCGGCAAACTCACAGTCCCCAGAGGGACCAGTGCTGGCTTGTTCTGTCACTGCACCCCATTCCTCTGCCCAGCCCAGCGTATCCACCTCTGTCTGCCTGGCTGCTCTGTTTGCTTACCCCAGGCTCCTCAGCTTTTCTTCTACACGTCTTCCCCCATCTTCTCCCAGCAGCCAAGAGGTTTGTTTGAAAACGCAAACAAAATCACAGCACTCTCCAGACTCAGATTCCCATTAGTTTCCCTTTGCTCTCAGAGTAACGTCCAGACTCCTTACCTTGGCCTGCAAGGCCCAGCCTGAGCCAGCCTGGGCCTGCGTGTCTGCCCAATCACTCCCCCTCCCTTGCAGCTCCATGGCCACTTCAACTTCTCCCTCAGACCCTGCATCTGCTTTCCCCTTCCTAACCCTGGCTCTGCAGGGATCAGCTCCTCAGACAGGTTCCCYGATGACCCTTCCAACTCAAGCTACCCTGTGTTGTTTTTTTGTTTGATGTGATTATTTATTTATTTTTAATACATACTCTGTGGTTTTTTAAAAATAATTATTTTTAGTTTTAGTTATCAATACCTTTATTTTTTTTATTCATTTTTACGTGGTGCTGAGGATCGTACCCAGGGCCTCACACATGCCAGGCAAGCGCTCTACCGCTGAGCCACAACTCCAGCCCCTTGATGTGATTATTAATAACTCCCATTTCTCCCCTGTTCCAAATTGATGATTAACCAGTGGTCACAAGCTTTATAGCTTGTGGGCTGCACCTAGCCATGGCTTGGTTTCATAAATGAGGTTCCATTGAAACACAGCCAAGCCCACTGTTTCTGTTGTTGTAGCTGCAGTGGCAGAGTGGACTAGTTGCAACAGTGACCATGTGGCTCACAGAGCTGAAAATATTTACGATTTAACCTGTTGATCTCTGAAAAATTTGCTGACCCCTACATTATATGGTTGCCATATCTATGCCACATGGGATAAGTTTTGCAGAGTCCATGGGAGTTCACACACAATCTGTAATCTTGGATAATGTTTCCCCATCATCACGCCTAAAATGTAGCCCCTGCTTTGTATCCTCAGTCCCAACATGGCACTCAGTGCAGTTTTGGTGAATGTCTGTGGGGGCGGGGTAGGTGGGTGACTGTTTCAAACTTTGGTGTAAGCTTGGGATACTGTGGGGGYTGCAAGAAAGGGCAGCGGAGCTCAGCCCTAAATGCTGAAAAGATCTTTCCAAACAAGCGAGGAAAGGCATCCCAGGCAGAGGGGACAGCTGGTACGAAGGTGTGGGGGCGGGGCTCTCCTTAGGCCCCTGTGCTGTGCCTCCTGTGGTGCCCAGGTGGTTTCCAGGGGGAGATGTAGGGCAGTATCCTCCATCTCACGTGAAGTCAGGGTGAAGGGAACCCAGGGCAGAAGAGCCCTGGAACACAGGTTGGGTACCCACTCAGCCAGGGTACCCAACCACAGCCTTGGATTCCCAGGGGTGGACACTCTTGTTCTCCTGAGGCAGATGAGTAAGTTTGGGGGCATCAGACCCCTGGGAAGATGGAGGACTCAGCCCTGGGCGCCCTCTGGGAAGTCTTGCTCCCCTGCCTCCAGCCCACTCCTCCTGGCACAAGCCCTTATTGAAACTGTCCCAGTGACTTTCTGGTCACCAYGTGGTGAGGGATATCTCACATCCTGTCACCCTCCAGACCTTCAGAGGCGGAGCGGTGTGGTGAGAGGGTGTCTGCTGGAGTTGGCAGGCTGTCTGCTGCCTTGGCCGCTTGGCTCAGCCTGGATCTCCACGTCTGTGAGGTGGAGCTGACGTGGTGGTGAGGGTCAAATGAAAGACCCGGCCTGCACGTGGGTGCTCATAAAGCAGAGGCTGCTCTCACTGGTGGCTGGTGCCCTTTCTGCTGGTGTTAGTGTATCTCTCATTGCCCTCGAAGACTCTCCCAGGTGGTAACAGACTTCTCAGAGAGAGGACATTTTAAAAACACCCCTTGAGTTGCTCATTTGTGTTTTGTCTTGCCTTTCAGTCTTCCTGTCCCAATTCAAGCTTCTGTGGAGTCAAGACTCTTGGACAGACTCGGGGGCTGAGGGTGGCCATCACAGAGATGCTCACTCATGGGAGTTCCCTCTTGCTGGCTCAGGCAGCCCAGGGTCCATTCCTGGAAGTGGCCACAGCCGTGAGGGTTCCCCTCTCCAGGCAGGGGCTGATACCTCTGGCCAGGAAGGGACAGGAGCTCAGCTGGATGAGGATGGGGATTTGGACGTGGTGAGGAGACCACGGGCCGCCTCTGATCCTGACCTGGAGGGGTCTCCAAGAGACAAGGTACATCCCATGATTCTAACACAGGAGGAAGACAACATCACGGGAGACGAAGCACCAGAGAGCTGCCCCCACAGTGTCATCCGAATAGGTAAATAAAGGTCAGTCTCTCCTGCCACCGGGGCGGCACCCCAGCAGCAGCCAGGGCGCAGGAGCGTCAGTGTCGGCTCTGGCTCAAGCCAGGACGGCGGTGCCGCTGCTGGCCCAGGCTCAGGACTCCGCAGTAGCTCCCCTTACCTCAGGATAGGCTTCAGATGGCTGCTTGCCAGGCCGAGTGTGACGTGGCCTCTGCTCGCCTCCGCAGCTCAGTTCACCCCGCCTTCAGCACTCCTCTCTGCGAGCCTCCTTGTGCTGTGCTGGGTTCCTGGGTGCTTTCCTAACACATCCCTGTTGAAGACTCCCAGCTTAGCCATCGGCTCCACCGGGAGCCGGGCTCCTGCTGCCTCCCACGTCCAGGTTCTCACTCAGCATGCTGGGGTCGGGCAGGGAGGCTGTGAAGGCTCAGCCAGGCTGGGCTGGCCCCGGGGCCCCAGTGATTGCGTACTTCATACTCTCAGCCCTCACTTCCCTGCCTCCCTGAGGGGCACTGGAGCCCGGTACTCCACAGTGAGGCTTTGGCCTCCAGTGTGCGGGCATTTCATGTTCTGGGATTTACTGTCCTCCAGGCTGAGAACCCTATGGGAAAGGGCCAGTGTGTGGTGGCCCACCCAGGGGCAGAGCAGAAGGTAAAGTTGTTGAGCGTAGGTCATGGCTTGTCTTGTTCCATTCTGGGCTACAGCACCATCTTCTGCAAATCTTGGCTGATGGGGGGCTGGACCGTGGCCCTGCAGAGCTGGATGTTGAACCCGKCTCCACCCCTCACCAGCAAGTGACCATGGACAGGGTCCTCCCACCCAGAGCTTCAGTGTTTGCACCTATAGAATAGGATCAGGGATACGGCCCTCCAGAGTTTGGGTGGTAATTTAGTGAAATAATGCCCAGGAAGTCCACTTCTTAYTGATTCCTGAATGAGACTCCCCCAGAGTGCACAGCTGCTGAGCCCTCACTCTCTTTGGAGCACCATCCGGCTGCGCCTCGGTCACCATGTCTGTGTCTGTGAAGTGGGGAGGCCCCAGGTCAAGGGGAACCTCTGAGGTGCGAGCCCTGGGCCTGGCTCAGAGGTGTCCGGCCAGCGCAGGTACAGGGAGTGAACGCGACCTCCGTGGGTGGGGCGTGGACGCACTTCTGGTTTCAAACCAGATGGCCACATTGGGCCTAACACTCCCATCAAGTCCTGAAAGTAACTCCAAACGGTGACGTCAAGCCCAGCTGGGTGCTGGCGGACAGTGCATGGGCCTCTGTAGCCTCAGAGCCCGCGTGGGAAGTCCGCATGCTGTGCAGAGATCTTGGTSAGATTTCTCCTGGAGAAGTCCTCAGGCCCACTCTCCTGGGGGACTCCTCAGTCACTGTCACCTGGCTTGGGTACAGGGTAGTTGGCTTGTGTTGGCTACCTTGTTGGGGTCCCAGGAGCCCTGGGCACAGTGAGGAGCTCACACCAAGAGCTCACGGGAACCTGAAGGAGCCAGGCTCCAGGGCTCCAGGAGCGGCAGCACCACYCACCTGCAGCCCTGCACTCTCCACCCTGGGCCCCTTCTTATTTCAGTGACATCATGGTTTGGTTTTGTGTGAGWCTGATGAGCAGTGGAAGCCACCCACCCTCCTGTGCCGCGTGTGTTTGAGCTTGGTTGCCCTGTGGTCCTGCTGAGGTGGTTGGGAGTTCTGATCTGGCACCAGAGACTGGCACTCTTCCTCTTCTCCTCTCACCCTCCGTGCCCTCCCCACCACCAGAATTGCATCCTAACGTGTTGTGCCCACACGTTGTGCTTGGGAACACTTAGACTTCCTTAACATGCTTCTCTTCAACCTTTTGGGAAAGGATAAGAACTCAAACTAGTTTTGTTAACTTGTAGCATGGTTCTAAGTGTGAGAAGGTTTTGGAATGAGCCGTGGTTATTACTAGCACATACACAAGGTACAGTTTTAAAGATGCAGCACTGGACTTGGGGCCTCATGAGATGCGAGTGTTCAATGAGGCTGGTCAAGCACTGTTGTGACCTAGTCTCCAGCCACAGGTGGGGTCACCTGGTGACGTGAGGAGAGGGAGCCAGGGGCCTGCTCCCAAGGGATGCTTGCACACTCCTGCCTGGTAGCGTGGCCCGAGCGTCCGCTTCTCTCTGGAACACCTAGCCCGGTGCCCATCTGACTGCGTTGGCAGGTTGCCATGCACCCACGCCACCCACCCCTGCCATCCGGTGGCTTTCTGTCTGTCCCCATTCACAGTGGGCATTTCTTTCGGTTTCCATCCTGTCCAGAGCACACCATGGCCACCCCCCTGGAGGATGTTGGCAAGCAGGTGGGTAGGCCCTGTCCACTTCCTGTGGCCCTGAAGAGTCTTTCTCTGGAGCCTCACATCAGCTGGTGCTCTYGTCCTCTGCCCTCCAGGTGTGGCGGGGCGCCCTGCTCCTGGCGGACTACATCCTCTTCAGACGGGACCTCTTCCAAGGACGCACGGTGCTGGAGCTGGGGGCAGGCACGGGGCTGGCCAGCATCGTGGCGGCCACTGTGGCGCAGACCGTGTACTGTACAGGTAACAGGCATCGGCTCAGGCTGCAGGGAGGTGGTGGTCCCCACAGTCGGTGCTAACCCTGTTGGGAAAGGAGATGGAGACACCGGGAAGGGGTTGTGGCTAGTCCCTGGTTTGCGGTGCCCAACAAGTGGCTACAGTATCGCCCAGCAGGCACCAGATCAGTGGTGTCAGTGTGTGATGCCCTTTGATGCTGACACCTGGAAAGAACAGACTTCTCAAGGGTATTCCCTCTCGTGAGCCTTAAAAACACCACAGAYGTCTTGCCTGTTCTTTGGGAAATTAGTGAAACATATTGAAATAAAGTCACTCATAATTACCGTCCCCAGATTTATGCAGCAGTATGCAGTTTATTGAGCACCTCATGGGCCCAGTATATGTGTGGGTGTAGTCAGGCCCCTAGTGAGTAAAATAACCACGTCGCTGCCCTCGGGCTACTTGTACTTCAGAATCTCTGCTTAACCTGTTGGTATTTGCTTGCATGTGCACGACCTTGCACCCCCCCGCCCCCCCCCCCCACACAGTCTCTTTCCTTTTAGGAATATGTACAGATTCCCAGAGAAGAGCTGAAATGCAGTGTCTGGGGCTCTGTCCCTCCAGGTGCTGGAAAACATTTTCCAGAGCATTTTCCTGTCACTAGCAGTTATTTAACTAGTTATGGCTTTGAGTAATCAGATACTTTCTCACCTCGTTTTCAACCCCTCAGCTGCTGAGCKTTTGGGTGGTTGTGTTTCTCTCATTTCCATGACACTGGGGTGAAGCCTTTGCGTGTTCGGATTCCCTTTGTGCCATCTGATACCCATTGGGCCAGGTTTCCCRGAGAGGAAGGGACTTGTCTTACGCTGGTGCTCCTTGTTGTCAGCTGATTTCTTTTTATTATTATTTTGAAATCTCATTAGACTAACACAGAAGTCACTAAAATACTCTGCAAAGTGCCATATACTTGTTTTAGTCAGCTTTTCCATCACTGTGACCAAAAGACCTGACAAGAACAACACAGAGGAGGAAAACTGTTTTGGCTCACAGTTTCAGAGATTCAGTCCACRGTTGGCCAGCTCCATAGCTCTGGGCCCAAGGTGAGGCAGCGCATCATGGCGGGAGAGTGTTGAGGAGGAAAGCAGCTCAGGACACGGCACTTAGGARGCAGAGAGTGAGTTCCACTCACCAGGGGTGGAATAGAAACCCTGGCACAGCCCAGCTGCCCGCCTCCTCCAGCCACACCCAGCCTGCCCAGGTACCAGCCAGCTAGTCCATTACAGTCAGTGGATTAACCTGCTGTTGGATTTCAGCTCCCACAGTCCAGTCTTCACCTCTGAACATTCTTGCATTGCCTCACACGTGAGCTTTTGGGGGCACCTCGCATCTCAACCCATTGATAACATCTTACACAACCATAGTGCAGTGGTCAGGACCAGCAAACTGACACGGGTGGGTGCTGCTGGTGGAGCTAGCCATGCTAGAGTGCCCTGCTGGAGTGTCCCGGCTGTGAGCGGGGTCTTGTCAAATGAGCATGATTACCCTACTTCAATGATTACCCTAGTGTCTGCTGGGGAGAGAGGATTTGCTGATGGGGTTTGCATTTTGTGGCTTCCTAGTGAAGATTTTCACGGCACAGACTTTTGCTTCTGAGGTGGGGAGGGAGTTGGAATGACCTGGCACTCATAATGCTGAGTCAGCCACTGGCAGGGGTTGACCAGCCACCTGAGTGCCGCCTCTTGACAGTTTCATGTAAATTGCAAACCAGGAGCATCACTGGGTGCCTGGTGCCTAGTAGCAAAATAGCATCAAATTGTCTTATCCTGAGAGAAAAAATCTCCAACACAGAGAAGAGAACTTCACTTAGGTGGCATGTCACAGTTAGCAAGGCCCTGATGGTCAGCCACATGATGAGTGCCTAATTGTAACTTAACAGTGACAGCCAGAGAGCCAATTTTCATTCCCTTTGTCCAAAGGGGCACAATGAAGCTAAGGTTGAATGGCTGGTCCAAGCTCATGGTCACGCTGCCGATGACAGCCAAGACCTGTGACCCAGACGTCCTGGTTCAGGGTGCGGTGCCTTGATCACAGGCAGGTATATCAGACTCTGTTCCCCGGAGCAGTCCCCGCAGAGGGGCGACGTGGCTTCTCCAGGGCTCCATGCTCCTACTGCGCGGTATTGTTAGAATCCCTTGTAGGATCTCTTGTAACAAAGACTACCATGAGGATTTAAAAGCTGGGGTTCTGGGGGTGTTGCTCAGTGGCAGAAAGGGAGCTTAGCAAGCACAGGCCCTGGCTTCTCCCTGGCACTGCAGCGTAAAACAAAAGCTGTTGAGGGCTGGGTTGTGGCTCAGCAGTAGAGCACTCACCTGGGTTCAATCCTCAGCACCACATAAAAATAGATAAATAAAATAAAGATATTGTGTCAACTACAACTGAAAAATAAGTCTTTTAAAAACACCTGTAGAAGCAGTCCTGCACTGCCTCAATGTCCCCTTTCCTCAGTGGCCAGGACAAGGGTTGGGTCTGAGCCTTGGCTGAGCCAGCTCTCTGCACTAGGCTCCGCGTGGCCTCCAGCATGCACCGTCTGGTCCCAGGGGTCGTGGTGGCAGGGTGGGTTGAGCATTGCCGATGGCGAGACGTCCCGTGCTCCACTTGTGCATTCTCCTAGTGAAGATTGATGTTTTGCAAAGTACTRCTTCCCTCAATGAGAATCCACTGTGTTGGTCCTGCTGAGACGTGAGAAATGTGGTCTGAGCAGCAGGCCCCCAGCAGTGACTGGGCAGGAGAGTCCCTCGCTGGTCACAGCCTGCTGCATCTCCAGTGACTGTCATCCGCCCTCTGACTCCAGCCGGTTTTCTGGAGTGTCAGAGACCCTGGAGTCGGATCCCAGCTCCTGCTCCCACTAGTTAGGAGACTCGCTCAGGTTGCTCAGTGTGTGACATGGGAATGCTGCTGCAGGAAGTGCCATGTCTGCTTTGCATMCTCAGGGATGGGCGCTCACCCTGCYTCCGGGCATGCCCACAGCGCTGTGTCCCCAGGACAGGATTCTCACGAAGGGAAGACAGTGGGAAAGAGCCCGGGTGCCCCTGTGTGGTCCAGGCGTGGAACTCAAGGGACAGCTCAGCTCTAGTGTCTGGGTGGTGCTCCTGGTGGCCGCTCTGCAGGCACAGCCTGGAGCTGTGTCCTAACCGCCAGCATGTCTGTCCTTCCAGATGTTGGTGCAGACCTCCTGGCCATGTGCCAGCGAAACGTTGCCCTCAACAGCCACCTGGCTGCCGCTGGAGGTGAGGCCCAGCTCTGAGGGAGGTTCCTGTTTGTCAGGCAAAAAGAGGCTGGGGTGGGGACGCTGGGAGGTGGAGACGCTGGGAGGTGGAGGAGGAGGCTGGGTGGAGGGAGGAGCAGGCTCCACTCAGCTCCGGGGCACAGTGCTCTGTCCTGGAGCTCCTCACCTCGGCACATGGCCACATCCTCCCCTAGCTTCTTCTGGCCTGGACATTGTCCCCTCCCCTCATCTTTCTAGCTCCTCTTCTGACCTGTCCTGCTGTCCTCCACGTGGCACCCAGTGTGGCCTTGCAGAGTTGCAAGTGCTCCCCCCCAGCCCTTGGGATCCCTCAGGCCAGGGGGCTGCTCCTGCTCTCTGCGCCTCTCCAGCCAGGGCTCGCTGCCCAGGCTGCGCTCTGCCCTCTGCCAGGAGGTCCCAGCGGCATCTGCCCAGCTGCCCAGTCCCTGCACAGCCTGCAGGAGGAGTATACACAGTGGCCTGGCTGGACTGCCAGGCAGGCAGACCTGAGCAACCTGCGGCGCCCCCCACCCCCAGGCCTCAGGCCCCCCAGGTTTGCCCACCCTGAGCATCGAGGTGAACTCCTTGCTGGTCCAGCCCCCACTCTGGCCCTACAGGCTGTCCCTCCGCCTGGACTCTCCAACTCAAACAGCACTCCCGTGACACTGCACTTATCCCTTGCTTGTTGGCTGGCTGCCTGGTGTTGCGTGCCACTAGACGTGAGCCTGGTGGCCGGACCCCTTGCCTCCCCAAGAGGTGGTGCGAGACAGTGCTGAGCGCCCTGAAGGCAGGGAGGATGGGCGGCTCCACGCCCTCCTGCCCTCCACGCCCTGCCTCACACACCAGTCCGGTCCCCTCCCCCTTGCCTTGCAGCATTGCCCTGACCACAGCAGTCACTCCTTAGGTGGCTGGTCCCCGACAGCAGGGGCCAGGAGTCTCTACAGTTGCTGACACTTCACACTCAAAAAATGCAGGAGGGAGGGAAGGAGCAAGGGAAAGGGCCGGGTGGCTGGTGGGTGGTGGGCGCCCCGCCATGCGGCCAGCCTGCAGCTGGGCCCTCTGTGTCTGTTCTCACAGGTGGAGTGGTTAAGGTCAAGGAGCTGGACTGGCTGAAGGACGACTTCTGCACAGGTGTGTTTCCTCRGGTATCGGCCTGGGCTCGGGTCCTCGGCAGCACCCAGGGCATGGCACGGGCGCCATGTTGGTTGAGCAGCACAGCCCTGCTGCCACCAAGCCCCAGCAGCCAGGCAGGGTCCCTCCACTGCCAGTGGGTGACAGTTGTTGGTTACCGAGCACCTGCCGTGTGTCGGGCACGTCATGTCCATGCCGTTTCCAGACTTCCCAGTGCCACCATGTGTTGGGCGTCAAAACCCCTGGGTCTTGGGGCTGGGGCTCAGCGGTAGAGCACTTGCCTAGCAGGTTTGAGGCCCTGGGTTCGACCCTCAGCACCACATAAAAATAAATAAGGTATTGTGTCCAACTACAACTAAAACATAAATATATTTTTTTTAAAAACCCGAGTGCTGCCTTCCCTGGGTCACACAGCTGGTACTGGGCGGGCTGCTGACCTCGGGCGTCCGTCCACCATCTCCCAGCAGGTGGTGGTTCTGGGAGACCCACTGGGGGAAGAGTCCTCTGAATTTCCTTACAAACTACTTCAGACCCTGGTGCTTGGTCTTTACCRAGGCTCCCGCAGGTGGGGGGACCATCCCTGAGGACCTGTCACCTGCCGAGTGCCCTGCAGACTGTGGGTCCCTTGACCCTCCCAGCAACCCTGTGGGAGAAGTGCTGGCCCCTTTCTATGTGCACAGAACCAAAACCCAGAGAGTGAGTGGGTCACACAGCAAGTGAATGGACAGGAAAGCCCTGGAYGGGGCACGGAAGACAGCTCATAGACGGCTGGCCGAGGGGGAGGGGGGAGGTTGGGATCTGCCTGCCTGTCACTGGCCCTCACTACAGTACAGCTGTCCCCGGGGCCCTGAAGCTGGGAGCTGGGACTCGGGTGTGGCCAGCAGTGCCCCCTGCGCTGAGCTGCTCAACCCTGTCTCCTGAAGCTCCTTTTGGTCATCTTCCAGTAAGAGTTGGTGGCCGGCAGAGACAGGATTGAGCCCAGGCCCTCCCCTTTCTCTGGCAGACCCTGAGGCCCCCTTCAGCTGGTCGGAAGGGGACATCGCTGACCTGTACGATCACACCACCGTGCTCTTTGCAGCTGAAGGTGAGGAGCTCTGCGTGGTCACAGTGTCCCTATCCTCACCTGGGGGGTGGAGCGCCTTACGCCTCCACTCTGCCCTGCCTCCCAGCGTGTCCCTTCCACAGTGTTCTACGATGAYGACCTCACGGACGCGCTGTTCGCCACGCTCTCCCGCCTTGCCCACAGGCTGAAGAATGCCTGCACGGCCATCCTGTCCGTGGAGAAGAGGTGAGCTGGGCGCGGGGTCTGCAGCGGGTCTCCACGGGTCATGCCCTGTCCAGCTCCTGCTGCTGCCAGGTTAGGCTCGTCCCTGACACAGCACCTTTCCCGGTCCCCTGGGTCCCCGTCTGCAGATGAGGAAGGAAACTGACAGCATCAGGGGACTGTCCAGGCCCCTACTAGGTTGTGACAAGACCCTTGTCCTCTGCCGTTGGCGTTACTTGTGTTTTGGGTTTTTATGAAAAGAAGACATTTTCRCCAGGCGTGGTAGCACCCACCTGTAATCCCAGTGGCTCTCAGGAGGCTGGGGCAGGAGGATCGTGAGTTCAGAGCCAGCCTCAGCAACGGCGAGGTGCCAAGCACCTCAGTGACACCTGTCTCTAAATAAAATGCAGAACAGGGCTGGGGGTGGGGCTCAGGGGTCGGTGCCCTTGGGTTCAATCCCGGTGCCAAAAAATAAATAAATAAATAAAACCTAAAAAATGAGAAGCTGAGTGTCTGGTGGTGAATGCAGGTGGAGAGGTGCTGCACTCACCGCAGCCGTCACGGAGGTCGCCTGCTGAGTGACACAGGCTTCGGCTTCACCTCCCTGCACGAGACTTTTGCCCAGAACCGCAGGTTCTTGCACACTCACGGCAGCATCATTTGTGCTGGTGGTGCCGAGGGCCCCGTCCAGAGACACGCCAGCCCGGCCTCGTTGGGATCTGGCATTGGTCAGACCAGGAGGGGAGCCGTTGCCAGAAGGGTCCCGAGATGTGCTGAAAGGTCACCAGGAACGTGTCCTGGCAGAGGGTCCTTAGTGTTTGGAGTTGCGCTGACTGTTTACAGGGAAGAGCTTGTTCATCTGGGAGGGAGCTGTTGTGAGGAGGGCCTCGGAGAGCGGAGGGGACACACTGCCTTCGGGTGACAGTGCTGAAGCTGGGTGATGGGTCCATCATGGTTTATGTGCTGTCCTCCTTTTGCATGTTTGTGATTTAAAAAACGAAAAAAGAAAAAGAAAAAACAGTGTTTAGCACTGGGGTTTGAACTCTGGGGCACCCTGCCGCTATGCTGCATCGCCAGCAGTTTTTATTTTTATTTAAAACAGGGTCTCTCTAAGTTGCTGAGGTTGGCCTCAAACTTGAGATCCTCCTGCCTCAGCCTCCCAAGTCTCTGGGATTACAGGTGTGCGCCACTGCGCCTAACATGATTTTTCATAATAAAAGATTTGCGAAAGAGATGAAGAGCTTGAATTTCAAGCCAGATCATCTTGCAGATTCTGGTTTGGAAAGGTGCAGAAGAGAGGGTTGGGAAACTCAGTTCTGAAGTCCTGCCCTCTGTCTCCCTCCTTCTCTCTCTCACCTCCATAACCCAGCAACTTCCTGGCCATGTCATTGCGCTCGGCTGTGCTCCCAGAGTGCACCTGCCTCTACTGTGGCCTCTCCCGTTCATCCATAGGTAGTCACAGGGCCACTCCGCTGGGTTCTGTGCTGGCTGCAGGCTGGACAGGCGGCAGCACCTGCAGAGACTGGCTGATAAGTCTTCCCTTGGCCAGTTTTCAGCAGCTCACAGTCGGAGCCTGTCTTTCCAGGGGTGTGATCGTGGACACACGACCAGCTTCCCAAGCCTCAGTGTCCACATCTATAAAATGGAGCTGGTAACCAGCTTTCGGGCAGATCCAGGAGGGCATTTGTAAAATGCTTTGCACATAATAGTCACTCAGTTAAAAAATGAGAGGAGTGGGGCAGCAGGAAGAGGCTGAGGAAGTGACAACCCGAGGGCGGTGGCTGATTGCTGGCTGCCTGCAGGCTCAACTTCACGCTGCGACACCTGGACGTCACCTGTGAAGCCTAYGACCACTTCCGCTCCTCCCTGCACGCCCTGGAGAAGCTGGCCCATGGCAAGCTGCGCTTCGTGGTGGAGCCCGTGGAGGCCTCCTTCCCGCAGCTCCTTGTCTACGAGCGCATCCGGCAGCTGGTAGGTCCTGTGGCATGAAGCTGAGGCCGCTGTGCCAGGCAGAGGCGGTGATGGACCCAACCCTCGCACCCAGGCCCCCGCCCCGCAGTCCAGTGGTGGCTGCAGGCGTGGTGCCCCCTGCAGCAGAACCTGCACTACGCTACATCTCCAGCAGTTTTTTATTTTTATTTAATAAAATTAAAACTTATTTTAAATTTTATTTTAAATGGGCAGCCCCCACGCAGACCCTTGCTTTGTAATGGCCACGTCCAGGTGGCCTGGGCAGCAGACCTTCACCTGGCTTTTTAGCAGTGTCTTTCCCTGTGGGCGGTTCAGGTCCAGAGAGGCCAGGCCCRGGCAGGACTTGGGAGTTGGAGTCAGTGGAGGGGCGCGGGGCCCCAGAGCCCAGCACAGGCCCTGCGTGTGCTCTGTGGAGAGGCTGCAGCCCGGTGTCATCGCCCTGGCCGCTCTGGCCCAGGACAGCAGGGCYCCTCCCATCAGGCCTCTCACGACCACCCTGAGGTGAGAGCCTCACGTGCCGGGCACCTTGCTAAGCACCTCTTGTCCACCACCTGCCTGATGCTCACGGCAACAGCAAGGCAGATGAGTCACCCTGGCAGGAAGTGGCAGCACTGGGGACTCAATCCTATTGCCACGTCACTTCTTATTACGGCTTTTCAACCCAGCACTTAGGGAATAGCCGCAGGTCCAGAGTCAGCCTCCTGGGAGTGCGGGGTGGAGAGTCGGCATCTTTGTTCCCTCTGCCTTTTGGCTGTGGCCCCTTTCTCTGGAAAGGGGAGGCTGGGGACAGAGCCAGCTCTCATCTCCCTGTCCGCCTCCTGAGCAGAGGCAGCCCTGCATTTGTCTGGGTCCTGGGTGGTGGTCCAGAAAGGCCTGCTCGCTGCCAGCCACCACTGGGCAGCTCCACGCAGACCCAGCAGGTCTGCTCGTGAGGACCCGTGAGGCTGCCACGAGAGCGTGGTGTGTGCCTGCATGTCCACCTGCTGGCGGTCAGAGTGTGTCACTTGAACAGAAAGCCAGCTCCTTAGGGAACTTGGCAGCCACCGAACATGGAGGCTTCCCCAGTGGAGAGGTTGTGGTGACCTGCTGCCATTCCCCTGGTCCCTTTCAGCTGGCTGGACTTTGGCCACCCAGCCTCCCTGTCCAGTGAGGCCCAGGAACAGCGCAGAGCTCCAGAGGGTAGGCAGAAGCTCGTGCCCTGTGCCGGCTCCGTGCCACCCCTGGAGCTGTGGTGGCATCACCCGCACAGCTCAGGAGCCTGTCCCTCCTCTCTTGCAGGAGCTCTGGAAGATCGTTGCAGAACCAGCAGCGTGACCAGGGCCTGGGCAAGGCCAGGCGGCTCAGCCGGTCCCATGATCTGCTTCTAATAAAACCAGAAGCTCACGCAGTCGTTGTCCGAGGTCCTGTCATTTTAACATGGTAAATGTGCCTTAGGTGGCCCCACGTGGATTTCTGGGGCCTGTTGCTGCCTCCCAGCAGCAGCCAGAGAGCCTGGTTGCTCTGCGTGGGAGTCGACTCAGGCCCGTGGGCCTCGTGCTGGGCACTGGGGCTAGGGAGTCCTGGGGCTGCTYGGRGAGTGCGTGGTCTTTGTGGCCCCCRGGCGCACCCCCTGGCAGGGCCGGGYGGTGCAGTGGTCCTTCCCTTCCTCTCTGAGGTTCACCAGTGTCTTCAGTGCCATGCTGGAAACTGCCCTAACAGCACTGGGCAGGGAAGCTCATCTCCGCCCAGGCTCCATGTTCCTGGGGACCTGTTCCTGCCTGCCCTGGGCCTCCCTCTCCACCTGGGCATGGTGGGTACGCTGTGTCTGTGCCCGCTCCCCTCTCTGCGCTCCCTGGCTCCTCTTGGTCCTTCTCACCGCCCCTCCTGCTCCACCCTTGGCACTCCCTGCCTTGCCCCTGCTGTGCCCTGTCACCAGGGTCCAGCACAGCCCTTCCCGCCTGCCCCTGGAGGCACATCTGCCTTTTCCTGTCCAGCTGTGCCTGCCCACAGCTGCTTCTCCTGAGCAGCCAGGGCCAGTACCCGCACTCACCGTGCCCCAGTCATCGGCTTAGCCCCAGGCCAGGTGATTGCAAGTCCAGGGTCACATTATCTTTCCAGAAAATCAGCAGCGGGTTATACCCATTGCACAGTTGAGATGACCACGGCTTCCAGAGGAAACCCCTTGGGGCCAGGGGCCTAGTTTGTCTGAAGCAGCTCTGCCTCCCGAGCGCCGCCCGGCCCAGAGCAGGGCCTCACACTCACTGTGGAGTGAGCTGTCCTCTGTTACTTCATCCTAGTTCTACCTAGTGCTGGCTCCTTTGGACATAATGATAGAGGCACGGAATAGCRTTTGCTCCACTGCAGTCCCCACTGCTGCCCTCTCCGCCTCCTCCCTTCCCTGTCCCACTCCTCTACTGGTCTTTCCTCTTTTTATTTATAGTTTTTTTTCACTTTGTGCATTATAGATACACACAAAGGTGAAATTCGCCGTGGGGTAGTCGTATCTGTGTAGCAGAGTGTGATCAGATTCATTGTTCGCTGAATTATCAATATAAATTACCACTTAGAACAGTGTGTCCTCGATGTGGGTCATTTTGCCTCCAGGGACATTTGGCAGTGTCTGGAGACATTCTTGGTTGTCACAGTCAGGGAGACGGGTGCTACTGGTGTCTAATGGGTGGAGGCCAGAGATGCCACTGAACCTCCCGAGTGCACAGGATGCCCCACAACAGAACGTGGCCCAGTCCAGCCATCAGGACTGCCAGCRTAGAGAGCCCATGACTTAGAAGAAGAGAACCTGGACTCTAGGAAGAAGTGTGGGTCTTGGCRGAACGTGGAGTGCAAGGAGCGCAGGGTGTCTCGCCACCTCTGGGTGTGGGAAGGAAACTGTGCACATACAGTGTCTCCAAATCCTACAAAGACCTTAGAAGGAAGTGATTCCTCTTTTACATGTGGTCCTGGAGTTCAGAGAGGCTAAGGGAATTGCCCAACATCACACAGCTACCAAGAGGAGACTCGGGCTCAGAGCCAGGCCCACCTGACYGCCAGGCCCTGCACCTCCCCCGATCCCAAGTGTGGACCTTGGCGGCAACAGCATGTGTGGCCCCACACGGCACCTGAGTCGGAATTTATGTTTTGGCAAGACCCCAGGTGATTCGTGTTCACTGTCCTTCCAGAGGCACCAGGACCACAGTGGAGTCTCTGCCCTGTGCCTCTTCCCAAGATTCCTACACAAAAACATCCCTGATAGACTGGCTGTCGTGGAGCAGCACTGCAGATCACGAGGGGACATGTTAACAATGAGTCTTCCCAACAACCCCACTTGACAGTCACTTCCCATTCTCCTTCCCCTTGGCCCTGGTAACCGGTGACTGCCTTGAACTGAGGCAGCACGGAGGTCCCCTGCAATCCCTGATTCCTGCCATCGCCCGGGGAGGACTTCAGACTTGTCGCTCAGAGCCACAGACATGAGTTTACTAGAAGGGATGGGAAAGGGAAGAGGAGACACTGTCTAGGGGGAGAGTGGGCCCTGCCCTGCAGTTTTACTGGGAGTCCCAGGGAAGGTTCTAGACATAAAAGTGACTGCTTAGTGGAGCCCGGGTCTGGAACCCGGATCTGGAACCTGGTGCAGGCAGCTGCACCACACTGTGGCCTTGCACCTGACACTGAATCCATGCTTCCACATGGCGATGCACGTGCACGTGAGCTTCCCAGTTAAACAGCACCATGCGCCAGGCCAGAAGGGCACTGAGATCAAAGTGTGTGTGTGTGTGTGCGTGTGTGTGTCTGTCT